TGTATGTTTCCAGGTTCGGTACCAGCCAAGTCCATCGTAAGCTAGTCATCATGTACACAATGAATGAAAAAGGGAAGTATAATAATTTTTTATAGCAAATATGACTTAGGACTTGTATGTAAATAATATTCGAGTACTGCTTGAACTGAAAAAAATGAAAAATAAAGGGGAGAAATATAGGAAATATCAACCAAAGCTTTTGGAAAATGAAGGTAATGACATGAAATACAGAGAGCTTTTACATTATATTTATTCTCTTCATTGGTTAGTACATCATAGGAAGAACATTTCCTCCAAGCAAACTTAAAAAGGTACTTCAGCAATCTGGACTTCGAACCTAGCTCTGGGTTTGACATCCTGCAGCACTGATCCTATTCTCTTTGAAGCTTACTAGTATACGTCCCGGTAAAGATTGTAAATATGGTGGATTGCAATTACAGTGCATGATTATCTATATAATCTACTTCAACTTGCTTATAGATTATTGGGTAAATATGTCTAGTGTTGTGTTAATCCATAATCCATAATTCTTTTCCAAACATGTAAACAGGGGGCTATTTAATCTAGTACCTCAACAATAAACTTAAATAAGCTTTATTAAACAGGAACCTAATTTGAAAAACACAAGTCCAACACACACACATACACATACGGATGGTTATGAGGGTGCACACGGTTGCAAAAACGACGTATGGTGCATACGGTTGCAAAAACGACATCTTTTTGACTAAAAACGCGCGTCCCACTTTAAAAAAAAATTCAGTTTCGATTCCCCTCAACATCGTTATGTTGTTCATTGATTTTGGATTTTTAGTTCATTGATTCTGGATATTTAGACGGAAATCGAAACTGATTTTTTTTTTTTTTCATTCATGCTGGATATTTAGTTCATTCATTATGGATTTTTAGTTCATTAATTCTGGATTTTTAGTTCATTGATTCTGGATATATAGTTCAAATTATGCACAACATAATGTTGTTGCTGGGAATCGAAACTGATTTTTTTTTTAAGTGGATGCGCGTTTTTAGTCAAAACGACGTCGTTTTTGCAACCATGTGCACCATGCATGGTGCACATGGATGCACAACATAATTTGCCTACACATACACACATGGTTTGTTCATGGATCATTGAAACAAATACCTCAGTGAACTTTGAATGTTTAACATATATAAAGAAAAGTTCACTTTTTAAAGGATAAGAATGAAGGCAACAAGCATGATATTAGTCATTTGTTCAATGCCTCAATTCTAGAAAGCAGGTGCTACCACTTTTTCAATCTCTGCTGTATATAATATTTTCCAATATTCTTCTTACTGTTTATATGATAAAAAACTATCCACTCCCACCCCCCACCCTCTCCCATTGATAATCTTCATGATGTTACTGAGACTAGAGACTTGACTGGGTATAGACCGGTTTTTGCTTGGCATAACCATGTAGATGAAATGGCTGCAAGTACAATTGGTTTCCAGGAAAACAATGCCAACTTTCCTGTACCAAGGGAGGGGCGCTCTCTAGAGAACATGCAAGATAAGCAAATTATACCGATGAATCCATACATTGGAGTGAGGTAATCAATAGATTAGTAGGTACATATACATCTATGATCTATCCCACACAAGAATGACAAAACTCCTAATTATAAGAGAAACAATCACTTATACTACTCATGTTGTCATTTTGAATACCCATACAATTTAGGCATTAAAAGCTACCCTTATTCGGAGGGTTAGGATACATACTACAATTCCGATCTTCCAACACTAGCTTGCTCTATTCTACTACTGTCCAGAGATTAAAAAAAAATGAAGAAAATTTTAATATGAGCATTCACACTTGTTATACCTCCTCAAACCTAATAATCCAACAATTAACCTAGGATTTAAGAACATTCACAACTTTCAAATATGAAAAATTGAACAATATAATTAAGACTAACCTAGAGTTGAAGACTAACCTGTAGGATGTTGATGAGGGAAGAGGCGAAGTCGGCAGGCCGGGGAGGGAAGAGGCGATGGTTGGCAGAGGAGAAACTGCGACGGTGAGAGGGCAGCGAAGGTGTGAGACAGAGCGGCAAAATGATCACAGTCGGCGAGTGTTATATGATGTGAACCCTCTCCTCTTCCACCAGATCCAATATCACTCTTTTTCGATTACCGCAGAAAAAAAGTAGTCTGTTAGCTCACTCTTTTTACCTACACACAGTGACCAAATCTAGTCGGGTAAATTTCCATAGCCGTTGCCATCAATATTTCTAGCTTCTCACTTCCATGACCATCCAGCAAACCAACCAGTTGGTTTCTTGTGTTTTCACGGCATATGCCTAAGTTGGGCACACTCTTCAGCAAATTTTTCTTTTTCTGTGGACATGAATAAAATCTATATTTTTAATGATCAAGTGTTCTCTTGTTGTTTTCAAAAAAAAGTGTTCCTACTGAGTCACAGGTTCCTTATACGAGATTCAGGTTACTAACACGTCATATGCAGATTATTAATTGTTTTTGTAGTTGAAAAATCTTGAAATAGAATGCTAGGAAATTGAAAATAATGTTGCAAAAGTGGTTTCGATATAAGAAATTGAATAAAATGTGAATTTCCTACTTTACCTTTAAAATTTTAAATATTTTTTAATTTCTCCATTAGTTTTAATGGTCAAGGACCAAATGTGTCACTTAGCTCATAACTAAGGGACTAAAAAAAGATACGGTCATAACTCAGGGACTGAGTCATCACTACCATTATAACTCAAGGACTAAACTCGCCATTTTCCCTTTTTCATATGAATAATTAGAATTCTAATTTAGTTTTTATATTACTTGGAAGGGGAGCACCCGAGTACAACGAGTAGGTTAAGGAGTATATACATGCCGTCAAGAAGGCATGCCTTAGCTTCAAGATCATCTAACAGAAAGTTAAGGACTCCATCTGGGGGATTCTTAATAACATGTAAGCCGTTGGGAAAATGTTTGGCCATAGCAGCAAGGGCGTCAGCCAAACAATTCTACTCCCGAGCTATTAAGACAACCTGTCATTGTCTCATTGATCACAAAGATGAAGCTCCTGTCTACATGCAACCACCAAGTTGTGAATCACGTTGCTGGGTCTGGAAGAGTTGTTCAAGCATCCCACCACCTCGCTAGAATCACATTCAAGTAAAAGACGATTGAAACCTTTATGGTACCTCTGCTTCCAACGGAGAGCATACGCCTATATATATTATGAACGTAGCCTGCCATCCAATGTCCATTACTATCTTTGATTGAACCTCCACAGGTAGCTATGTATGACTTCTTATCGGATGCACCATCTGTGTTAATTTTAACCCAACCAACTGACGGTTTGGACCAGCTAATATAAGCTTCTCTCAGCTCCTGCTTCCACCTGGACTGATATTAAGGAAAGCCCTATCAAATGATTTGCTAATTGTTTCCATCTATGACATGATCCATGTGACCTTTACAGTAAGAGGCCTACAATTATTATATTGTTGAAGATAGCATCATTGCGCCATTTCCAAATCCACCACAACGTGATGGCAAAAAGAGAACTATCCTTGCAGTGATTTCTTCGATGAGTCCGCAATCAAGCCAGGTAGCAAATGGTGTAGTCATAAGCTGGTCACGTTGCCCCGGGAAAACTGACATCCAGACCACATCAGCTACTGGGCAATGCCTTAAGACATGTTCCGTGTCTTCGATGGCATCATGACACAAACGCATATGGCACTGCTAGCCAAGCCGCATATGAACCTATAGGAGTTAGTCATGAGCCTATTATGTTTAGCAAGCCAAATAAAGAAACGAATTCGATTTGCCACGCTCAATTTCCAGATATTGTTCCACTTCGCTACATCGACAGAATTAAACGAGCAAGTTGAAAATTCGTAGGCCGAGCTAACATAGAAATTGCCTGATGGCTCATTTCTCCATTCGAAAGAGTCGTTATCCTCAGAGTTACTACAGATCATAACAGCCTCTAGCTTATCTAGAAAAGTTTTTGGTAGAACCTGTTCCAGTTCATGCCATTTCCAGCCCTCAACATCATCCCAGTAACTTGCTACTGGTTTATATAACTCAGGCAGAGGAAGAGGATCAGAAACTACCTCCTTGAGGGGAGATTCAGCCAACGAAGTATCCAACCAGAAAAGGGTGTCTCTCCCATTTCTTACAATCCTTTCGGTACCTTTTTGGAGAATTCTAATTAAATATTTTATTTGTAACATTGTCACTTTTCTTTTTTCAATTTTTAAATATAAGTTAATACCATTTGAGGTCTTCCGAATATAGTGATTTTGCCCTGTTTAGTCCTTAACTTTCAAATTGACCCTTTGTGGTCCTTTGACTTTCAAATTTAACCATTCCTGGTCTAAGTTAACCACCCATGGTCCTTCAAGTTTTGAAATTTAACAAGTTGTAGTCCTCTTGAAAGGACCATGGTTGGTTAAAATTTAATAGTCGAAGGACATGGGTGGTTAACTGGGACCACGAATGGTTAAATTTGAAAGTCGAAGGACCACATATGATCAATTTGAAAGTTTAGGACTAAACATGGCAAAACCACTAAATATTAATAGTGATATGAGTGAAATTTTGTTTTTGATATTTTTTTTAATGAGTTAATACCTCCAATGGTCCTCTGAGTATTAGCCATATACCAACTATGGTTATCCGACTTTTAAACGACCACGAGACATTCTCTATCTTTTCAAAAATAACCATTCGTGGTCCTCCATTATGTTTGCTGTCAAATGAGCGTTAAGTTTGATGGTAAAGCTGTCATTTCACATACATGACCTCCTACTTCGTTTAGTTCACAACCATTAATAGAGAGTGAGTGCATGCACTGGATGATTTCTACCTACCTATGCCACTCTAATAAACCTTAACTTTTTTTTTTTTTTTTTGAAAGCTAATAAACCTTAACTAATAATTAACAGTTTCATATTAGAGCAGGCGACACAGGATGGATTACAAGATTTCATAAACATTAGAACAACATGTGTTACGAATGGACTCACTTCGTCGATCTTGGAGGTGAAGACTTCGATAACAGGATGGTTAATCACTTTGTTCAGGAATTCAAGAGAAAGAACAAGAAGGACATCACAAGGAGCCCTAGGGCTCTTAGAAGGTTGAGAACATCATGTGAGAGGGCAAAAAGGACTCTTTCATCCACCGCTCAGACCACAATTGAGATTGACTCTCTTATTGAGGATATTGATTTCTACTCCACCATTACACGTGCCAGATTTGAAGAGTTGAACATGAGTCTTTTTAGGAAGTGTATGGAACCAGTTGAGAAGTGTTTGAGAGATGCCAGGATGGACAAGAACACTGTTTATGATGTCGTCCTTGTTGGTGGCTCCACTAGAATTCCCAAGGTTCAGCAACTGTTGCAGGACTTCTTCAATGATAAGGAACTCTACAAGAGCATCAATCTTGATGAAGTCGTTGCCTATGGTGCTGCTTTGCAAGATGCTATTTTGAGTGGCGAGGGTAACGAGAAGGTCCTAGACAAACGCCGTTGCTGCTCTACTTCGCCGGTGAAAACAAAGATCGTCCCTGCTTCATCGGACTCTCACCGAAACAGCCGACAACGAGAGAAGGGAGGCCAGAAACAGGGTCGCCGGTGCTGTCTCTCGCTGTCGGAAGACCACTACACGTCCCGTCGTCATCGAAGCCTTCTAGCACCGCGCACCACAGCCTCACGCTGGTACCCTTCGCCGAAAAAGGAAACCCATGTCGGAGGAGCTCGCCGGCCTACACTGCTTCACTGAAACTAGGAACGTCGCCAGAGACTGCTCAGCCCTGCTGTGCGAAGTTGGAAGAGAGCTGAAGAGAAACAGAGGTCTGAGAGTCACAACGCCGCTACGCCGCAAGACCAAAGCACAACCGTCGTTGCTTCTTGTCTTCACTTTTGGCCAAGAGGGAGGGAAAAGTTGACAGCATGAGGAAGGAAGAGTTGAGGAAGGTGATGGAGCATATATATGTGAAATGATAGCTTTTGTAACACCCCTAATTTTTAAAACATTTAAAGGTTATGAAATAAAGGAAATCTAACATTAATATCCCAAACAGAGCAGAGACTACACAATAAAAGTCGGGGTGTTATGTCACATCTAAGCTTGAGAACGTAGATGCACACGCTAACTAACTAAACAGAACATAATCCAAGTTTAATATCCAAGATACAAATCAAGGCACGCAGGCCATCTACCAAGACTAAAACTATCTAAGCTAGGTCCTCGTGTCCATCTAGCGCACTCCGAAGCTACTAATCTGTACTTGAAAACATACGGTGTAACAACCGTCAGCGAATAATGCTAGTAACCCACTCCCACCCGTTGAGTACAATAAGTATAAATATAGGAAATCATTTTGAGACTGGAATATATATATATATATATATATATATATATATATATATATATATATATATATATATATATATATATATATATATATATAATTCTAAGCAATGCTAGCTTTAAAATCAAGATCAATACTCAAGACACGACAACAGACTGGACACTATAAAACAACATAAGGATACTAGCATGCAACCTAAAACCACAAGATAGGACAATAACAAGGCTCAGCAACAAACAAGATAATAATAAGGCTCAACAATAATAATAGACAGTCACAACACATGTCGATGCTCCAACCTTATACCAAGTTCCAACCTTTTCTCCTATCTATCCTTATATCAGTTCCAACCTGTACCTCCAGGTCACCCTTATATCGCCTCCCTTATTCCTCCGGAGCACGCATGCAACACACAGACATACCGCCAACGAAACCACCGATCTGATAGCACCGAAGTACCATTAACACATTATTTGTGCCTATAGCACAGTAATCAAGGGGTTAGTGCCTATAGCACAATGACATGGCACCGCCGTGCGAATAACTTGATCTATGCCTTTAGCACACTAATCAAGGGGGGTCTGTGCCTATAGTACAATGACCGAGCACTCGTTGTGCTAAACCGCCAACAAATTTTTTCCACCAATCACAAGTACTATTTCTTTACCTCGGACTTTGGAGGTGATCTCCTACTTGTCCCCGTGCTTGGTAGCTACCAAGTGGTGGTAGAACTCTTTCACAAACTCGGGGTATGTATCGCTCTTTATTTCCAAGTACATTTCTAACTAACTTTGAAACTTAAGCATATCAACCAATTCTTGAGAGAATTGATCGGGTTAGAGCGCTTTACCTCCCAATACCGTGTAATCGGCATTGTTCCATTCCGGGACTCGGGCATTGGCTGGTCTCCTCGGCATCGTTGGATTTTTATAGAGTAGTCGCGGTTGGGGTTTTGCTTTTTCGGCGGAATTTCCGGTGACTTTTCCGGCGGCTTTTCCGGTGAGCACGGTGAACAACAGAGCCACAGTGGTTGTTGGCTCAGTTACGGCTCGGGGACGTCGACGACGGTGGAACGTGGGTATCAGCTTCACGTTGGCTGGAGGGTGGCAGCGGTGGTGCGGGGGCGTGCGGCTGGGTTGGTCATGATGGTAGTGCATCACCGGTGGTTTACTGTGCGACTCTCGGTCGTGGCTCGGCGGTCCGGGGGAAGCGGGTCTCCGGCGGGGGGTGGCTGGGTGGTGCAGCAGTGAGTGGCTGGGCAGTCGACAGGGGTTGGCGGTTCGGCCGAGGGGTGAGAGAGAGAAAGGAGGAAGAAGAAGGGTTTTGATTTGGGGATTTTGGGCTTTAGGGATTTGGAATGGGGGTTAAGAAGGTTTTGTCTCCTTTAAGTTTTAAGAAATGATGATGGTTCAGTGGTTAAGGCTTAGTTGTGGGAATGGGAGGTTTAGGGTTTAAAACCCACTTGTTACATTTAGCTCACTCTTTTCAGACTCTTAGTTCAATTCCCTTATGATATAAGAGTCTCGTTATTATTTTTCGTTTGCCAAGTATTGATTCGTGAGATTTTAAAATTTCTAAGAGGGTACGAGCCAGTGATTCCAATTAGCACGGAGAATGGGGTGATCGAACTAATTAATTAATTTTATTAAAAATACGGGGATCCTAAGTAGTCGAACTAAGTAGACGGTTTTACGATAAAAAGGGGTAGTTTACAAGGATTCGCCCCCTTTATCCTAGAAAAAATTCTTCTTCCAATTGATTCGTAGGGTTCTCGTCTCCCAAGGCTACGTCTTCGGTGCCGATTCCCGCCTCGGCTTCGGCTTCAATGCCAGCTCGGGTTCAACTGATGACGTACAGTCGTACACCTTCCCGGGTGCTCCATAGCTTCCCCGGTTGTTCGTATTCCCTTGTTCCATCGTGATTGAGGGTCTCGCACTTGTGGGTTGGTTGCATTGCAAGCTTTTGTGACCTCCTTCCCCGCAATTGTAGCATCGTAAGGCGTTCTCTTGGCAATCCGTGCCCCGATGCTCCTTGCCACACCTTCTACAAGGGAATTGCCTTCCGCTAGCCTCGTCATATTTTGCCGGTGGCCCTTGGATTTGTGGGTTAGTCGCCATTGCGTTGGACTCGTTTTTCGCCCTCTTTAAGTTAGGGCCTTTACTCCCGTTGTTCCTTCTCCCAACTTGTTCCTAGACTCCCCGTTGTAGTAGTTGAATCCGGTAAAGGTCGGCGGCACTAGCATAGGCTTCGTTGAGGGTTCTTGGTTTGCTTACGGTTAAGAACTTCCGGGCCTCGAAGTTGAGACCCGCAATGAATTTCTCTACCTTAGTTGTCTCCATAGGCACCAATTCAGGTGCGAAACGGGCCAATTCTAGGAATCGCTTGTGGTATTCCACCACCGTAGCGATTCCATGTTTCAGGTGGAGGAACTCCTCGTACGTGGCTGCTCTTACGTGTGCGGGGTAAAAGCGTTCCCGTAATCTGATTTTTAAGGTTTCCCAGTTGAAACCAGGTTCTTGTCTACAAGTAGGTCCTTCGTGAACCCACCATAGATTGGCCTTATGTCCAAAGTAGAACGACGCCAGCTCGACGCGGCGTTCCTCTGGGCATTCCACTACCTCGAAGATTTTGTCAAACGTTCGGATCCATTCCTCGAGCGTCGTAGGATCTTCTTCTCCCGCGAAAATAGGTGGGCGATGGTTTGACACTTGGCGAGCCACATCATGGTTCCCGTTCGAGGGTGGTCGGTTGTTATTGTTAAGGATGGCATTGCTCAGTGCCTGGCCGACCTGAGTTAACTGTTGTAGATTTTGGGTTAGCTGATCGTGGGCAGGGGGCTCAGGGGTCCTTGCCTGGTTTCTCGATGGTGCCATTCCGGGCTCTACAGGATCAACATCGGTCTTAGGTGTAAGTCAGGGGCTCGCACCCTTACCTTGGTGTTTCAATTATAAGAACTTTAAACTAGGTAAAGAGTATATTAAAGGAAAATTAAGCAGGAAACGGTAAAAAAACTCACAATCTCACCGCACGTCCTAAAATTCCTAAGTCCTAAGTATTTAAACACCTAGAGTTTCAATTTAACGTCCTAAAGTCTTGTCTTAAAGGCCTTGTTCTAGGGACGAACATAGGCTATGATACCAACTGTAACACCCCTAATTTTTAAAACATTTAAAGCTTATGAAATTAAGGCAATCTAACATTAATATCCCAAACAGAGCACAGATTACACAATAAAATTCAGGGTGCTATGCCACATCTAAGCTTGAGAACTTAGATGCACAGGCTAACTAACTAAGCAGAACATGATCCAAGTGTAATATCCAAAATACAAATCAAGGCACGCCGACCATCTACAAAGACTAAAACTATCTAAGCTAGGTCCTCGTGTCCATCTAGCACACTCCGAAGCTACTGATCTGTACCTGAAAACATATGGTGTAACAACCGTCAGCGAATAATGCTGGTAACCCACTTCCACCCGTTGAGTACAATAAGTATAAATATAGAAATCATTTTGAGACTGGAATATATATATATATATAATTCTAAGCAACGCTAGCTTTAAAATCAAGATCAATATTCGAGACACGGCAACAGACTGGACATTATAAAACAACATAAGGATACTAGCATGCAACCTAAAACCACAAGGTGGGACAGTAACAAGGCTAAGCAACAAACAAGATAATAATAAGGCTCAACAATAATAACAGACAGTCACAACACACATGTCCATGCTCCAACCTTATACCAAGTTCCAACCTTTACTCCTCTCCATCCTTATATCAGTTCCAACATGTACCTCCAGGCCACCCTTATATCGCCTCCCTTATTCCTCCGGAGCACGCATGTTCCCCACCGACATACCGCCAACAAAACCATCGATCTGATAGCACCACAGTACCATTAACACATGATTTGTGCCTATAGCACAGTAATCAATGGGTCAGTGCCTATAACACAATGACATGGCACTACATTGCTAATAACTTGATCTATGCCTTTAGCACACTAATCAAGGGGGGTCTGTGCCTATAACACAATGACCGAGCACTCGTTGTGCTAAACCGCCAACAAATATTTTCCACCAATCACATTTCTTTTCTCATCATGGACAAATCAATCACAATAACCAATGCGCAATGATACCAGCAACCATCAATACTCAATCAACAACAATAGTCAATTCTCAACAACAACAACAACAAAGCTCAACAATAACAATAACCACTACACACAACTCCTAAAACGGTACCCGAAACATCGCACGAGACTCATAAACACCAAACGGGGCACAACGGGGCACGGGGAAACAATGAACGGGGTAAAACAGCATAATACATCGCCCGTACCAGCGGGTGGACGGCCACCCGCCGTGCACCTGCCGGTTAGCGGTCCTATACCAACGGGTACGACCACCCGCCGGTACGGTGGACGGGTACTGGCGGGTGGGCTGGTGGGGATTCGTCCCCCCACCGACCCCCCGCTGATACGATGTTAATTTGGCACTTTGCAAACCCGAGAATTCCTCAATTACACCGAAATTGAAATCCAAATCCAAATACATCCCAATACATAACACCAACAATAGGGACTTGAACACCAAGAATTAGACCAAGGAACCAACAGAATTAAAGCCCAAATACACGCACTAATCATGCCAAGAATCAAGAATAAATACACAACGATTCAAGATCATCAAGAACCTCAAGAACTCGATCATACCAAGCTTTGGCAACAAGCCCTAAACCTAGAATAACACCCGAGCATGCATAAACCCACCCAAGAACACCAAGAACATCACAACAACAAGATTCACAATATAAATCCTAAGGACAAGCTCTAAACATAATTACATACAAGAACCTGTCAATCATCACACAAGACCATCAAGATTATCAAGAACAACAAGAATTCACCATATAAACCTAAAGACAAGCTCTAACAAGATATATATACAAAATCACACATTCAATAAACCAACAGAGCCAATCAATAAACAATAGCAAGGAAAGTCGGTTTTGTAAGACATGGGTTAACTCTTTGCCTTAATCAATTTTCCCTTGGCTACTAAGGTCCTTCTCTAAGATTCTCCTTCGATTGATCTTCCTAGACTTGGTGGTGGGGAATTCCTTGGCTAGGATTCTTTGGGGAATTTTGTGTATTAGGGTTATGAGAAGGGAGAGAGGTTCTAAATGCTTCCTAATCTCCTACTTATATATTTAGGAAATCCTATTTGTAATCTGAATGGTAAGGCCCACTTTCTTTATTTCTAACAGGCTTAAGGCTCTAGTTTAGGCAAGGGTCAGCGATCCATTGTGGACCACATTAATTAATTAATGGAATCCTAACCAAATTAAATCATTTCTAACTATTGTTAACGGGATTAATTTAATAATTAATCCGGGTTTGAATGTCGTAACACAGGGTGTTACAGCTTTACCCTCAAACTTAACGGCCATTTGACAACAGACTTAACGGGAGGACCACGGGTGGTTATTTTTAAAAACTTGGAGGACATCTCGTGGCCGTTTAAGAGTTGGATGACCACAATTGGTATATGGCTAATACTCGGAGGACCAATGGAGGTATTAAATCTTTTTTTAATATTAATGGTGAGAATTCTAATTGCTTAAATTTTTGGTATTCTTTAATACTAGTAGTTTCACCCGTGCGATGCACGACCATATGTATAGTATATGGAATATACAGTATAAAATATAGTTATTGAAAATCTAATAAATTTGAAATGAATAAAATTGTAATTTGATTACACATTATTGAAAACTTCTTTGTACACAACATTTGTTGAGTAAAACACCTGCCAATTGAAGACCTTCTATGAATAGTTGCAGTACTTTGGTCTGTACCTTGAGCATCGGTATTTGTTGATGATGAATTATCCAAATTTTTTGAGATATATAAGTAAACAAAACGCACATGAGTGCCATAATAATTGCAATTAAAATTATAGTCCACAAAACATAAGTAATTGGACCATTATTAGACAACCTAAATTGCAAAGTAAAAACATAAATTCATTACACATAACTACATTGTAATCCTTATTTCATGGCCCATGTTCCATCATATTGTGTGGATCATAGTTTAAAAAATACATTTTTTAGAAACTTCAGTTTAGATCATTTATGTAGATAATGTACATTTTTTGAAACTAATAAATTAATATAATAAGGGTACATTAATTTATTCTTCAAAAAAGGGTACAATAATTTATATAATGTACCGTGAGGGAGCTAGTAATATAACTGGAGTACAAAACTAATGTAGTTTTAATATATTAAAAATGTACAGTCAATTCTTTGTTCCATACAATTGTGTATACCATGGTACACACAATAATTTGGCACGTAAGTAATTATCCTATTATTACAAAACTTAAATTTGTAAAAATAAGTTTAGTCCACATAACATAATTACAATAATTATGGCATACAACATGCTCCACAAAATTTTTGTGGACCATAAATATAGAGTACATTTTTAATATACAATTGGTACATTATTTATATACATAAGGTACATTTTTTAAATGTACATTTTTAAAGGGTACATTTTTTTTTTTAATAATGTACCTTCAATTCAAACTACATTAATACAATTTAATACAATAAGGGTACAAAAATTATGTTAGTTTAATATTTTAAAAATCTACCTAATATTCATGCAATCTTACAATTGTGAGGACCATGCATCTACACAATAAATATCTACAAAATTAATAGTATATTCCTATTAATATACTACACATAACATAATTAATTACAACATTATACTACATAAATTGGTAAGTTTTCAAAATTTAAACCTAAACTCTCAGTATAGAAATCAGGCCTACTGACCCAAATCATTGAAGCCCAATATAATGACCCAAATCTTTATAGTAAACCTGACCCAATAAATTATGTCGTGGAAACGTGTTCACTATGCTTGGTCAACACGCTTCCAAACGACGTCGTTTTTGGTGTCACTTAAAAAAAAATTCACTGTTCTATTAACGGCGTTAGTATCGAGTTTGAAGGCAGTTCTGATTTTGGCAGTTTAACAATTCTCTCTCCCATTCTCGATTGATTCGATCCGATATTCACAATTCTTTCTTATTCACGATTGATTGATTTGAACTCGTAGATGGAGGAGACAGCGGTTCGTGGAGAAGATTCGATCGGTGATTTGATTTCTGCGATTCCAGGTTCGTTCGATTTTATGCGTTCGATTTCGTTTGATTTATGAGATTTTAGCATGTTGAAGATTTAGTTTGTTTTTATCGGTGTTTGTTCAGTATCTATGCAGTTTGAATGTTCATAATGTTGCAATTGTTATTAGTACTATGTTTCTGTTATGAATTTTACAATATGAGATTATGTATTTTCTGTTACACAATTATGAATTTTGATACTCTGTTCATGCATGTGGTATGAATGTTCATAATTTAATAGTACTATGTTCATAACATATTAACTGGTATAACTGGTATGTTACTCTGTTTGCATATATTCAGTGAATGAAGATTTTGTTGGTGATTCAATAAGCACTGATCAAGTAGAGTTAAACATTGACATTGGTGGCTCGTCTTCAAGTCCAGGTTCTTTTCTTAGCTTTTTAACATGAATGTGGTTTCTGGTAGTTGTAGGTACTGATTCATGGTGATTATATGCAATTTGAATGTCAGTAATGTTGCGATTGGTATTAATACTCTGTTTCTGTTATGAATTCACAGTTTTGAGGTTATGAATTTTCTGTTATTGATACTCTGTTTCTCTTATGAACTTTCTGATATGATATTATGAATTTTCTTCTGTGAGATTATGAATTTTCTCATATGAGATTATGAATTTTCTATTGTAGCATATTA